TTGCTCAACATTTCTTAATCTGTTCCCCTATCCCATTCCTCAAGGTCAAAAAGCCTTGAAACCCAAAACCCGAATCCAGAAGAGCCGAAGATGGGCTCTAGGCCCAGGCATTCCCCAGCCTTACTGTGTGATCTTGGCCAAGTCACTTTTCTATCTCAGGTCTCACGTGATGCTCCAGAAATCCACTCTGGCCTTAGAGCTTGAAGATACCTCTTCTGTGATTTTCTGACTGCTCATCTGAGGCTGCAAAGCCCTGGGGCAAGAATTCTGCCTCTTCTCTATGCAGTCTGCCTGGGGGAAGTGATCGGCTCAACTGGGACCTGCTGGTTTGCTCTGGTGATCCTCACTGTGCATTGGTGATTGAGGGCTACTGTCAGAATATCACGGGGGAATGTCATGTGTGGCAATTATAAACAGTGTGAAAAAAGCCTCCCAGGAGGCTCTGCTAGGCCTGAGCCTTGAAAATCTCTGTCCTGGAGGTATTTGGATGGGTTTTGGGAGTTCACATCCCATGAAACAGAATGTATATTCTTAGGATCACAAATCCTTTGAAAATCTGATAAAAGCTATGGATTGTCTTCTAAGAAACAGACATGTTCCCATGGAACTTTCCATATAATTTTTGGGGCTTTGTGGACCCCCTGAGCCCATCCATGTATGCTTACACTCTGTTCTCCAACATTAGAGATAGATTGTTGACACTCCCTGTGAACTGCCCATTGTCCATCCATGCTGGGGATGTTACTATTCATGGCTGATATGAGCTCCTTGGAGACTGGAAAGCACAGGTACATGCAACCCACAGGGACAAAGGGAAGAGGTTAAACCCCAGTGCTCAGGCTACCCTGAGCAGAGCTGGGTCGCCAACTTAAAAGTTCTGGAACCCACATTTCAGGAAGGTATCTCCCCCCATCCCCATCAAGCTCAGCAGCCGCCTTACCTTCCCAGCACCAATCACCTTCTCCGCAGCATAGACTGCCTGGCTGCATCGGGGGCAGCGCTCGGAGCCACCAATCTTCTGGGCAAATTTGGACGCATTGGGGTTGGTGGTGGGCCTGTGGCCAGGGGCTCTGTATGGAGAAGGGCATGGGTGAGGTGACTTACACTGTAAGTACAAGTAGGGCTGGCACTGAGAGGGCATGACCCTACCTTCGTCTCATGGCAGAGCAGTGGGCAGTTCTCTCTGCCAGAGTCACAAAGGGTAGGGCCTCTAAGGTTATCTCCCATTTTACAGATGGACAAACGAAGGCTCAGCACAATGTTATTTTCATTGAAACATCATAATTCCCTCGGTCACTCAGTTAACCTCAGAATCATTTAACACCCCATTTGCTAAAAACGCCCTCCTCTGCCCCTCATTCCTGCAGCTGGTCTACTATCAGATTCTTTCCAGGAGAAATCTGCTGACGAATCATTCTCATTGGGGCAATGACCTTGGCTGAAACTTGGTAGCTCATCCATCATTTCCGTCTACCCCCAGGCTGAGGAGCCAGCCAGGCCCACTGCCAAAGCCACCATTAACCCAGAGGCCAGGGAGTGCCGTGGGGTGGGGGCGGGGAGGGGACCTAGCGACAGCCTGTGGCATTTCCGAGCAAGGGAGAGGACTCCTCCTCACTTGCGCTGAGAGACAGCAGGGCTGAGAGTGAGGCTGGTGTGGCAGTGGTGCTGCCCTGAGCCCCTGGCCTGGCTCCGACCCTCACCAGCCGTGGGACCCCAGGCAAGTCACTGGGCCTGGGCTGGATTTTCTCATCTATAAAAAGAGGAGGCAAGAGGGGGAAACCCCGTCTCTACAAAGCGGGCTATGTGGCACACGCCTGTAGTCCCAGCTACTTGGGAGGCTGAGGCAACAGGATCACTTGAGCCCAAGAAGCAGAGGCTGCAGTGAGCCGAGATTGCAGCCCTGCACTCCAGCCTGGGTGACAGAGCAAGACTCCCTTTCACAAAAAAAAAAAAAAGAGGAAATTGGACTAAGTAATTCTTGGGGCTCCTCCCAGCTCTGCCCTTATCTAGATACAGAATGCACATTCCACGCAGGGAGGCGCCGCGCCTGTTTTAGCCCCAGCTGAATCCCCAGCTCCAGCAGCAGCCTGACACACAGCACTGCTCTGTGGCTGCCTTTTAAATAACTGGTTTTCTGAGCCTTCCGTTGCTTACCCAAAAATGGTTTAAATACACGCGAGGCCTAATGCAGGGGTGGGGGAGAGAACTGAAGAGAACAGTTGGGAGAGGATGTTTTACTCACTCCTCGTGCTTGATGCCCAGCGACTCGCCCTTGTCAGTGCTCAGGGTGCCCGCGCCCTGCCCATAGCCATAGCCTTTGGGCCCATACTTCTTGCCGTAGCAGGACTTGCAGTAGATCTCCTCGCCGTGCACAGCCACAGTGGTGCTGTCCAGATTCTTCTTGCAGACCACTGTGGAGGGGAAGCGGGCACGGTGAGTTGAAGCTGCGGGGAGCTGCAAGCTTCCTACTGCTGAAGCTCTCTGGGCTATTTGCATAAATCATATCCTGATCTTTCAGAAACTGTCTAGAAATGGAGGCAGGCGGGATGGCCAATGGGTGGGAGGACAGAGGGATGGGATCTGCATGTCTGACTCTAGAAATGCTGGCCAACACCAATTCCTCTTCCAGGAATCCATGTGTGTCTCCTCCGGTCTTCTGCACCCCCAAACTTCCTGAGGCTGCAGTGCAACACAGGGGCTCAGAGGCAACAGCCTAGGCTGACCACAAGCCACAGGACGCCTGTTGAGGTTCCTCAGTCCACTCTCAACAGAGACAATGTGTCCCAGTAGGAGAGGAGAAAAAAGAAAAGAGGGGCAGGATTTTCCTGCCTTCAACAATGGAACTCAGAAGAGACTATCTGTGCATGCCAGCTGGGGAGATGCAGGTGGTGTGACACCCCAGAAGAGAAGGTTAACATTTATTAAGTGCCCAACACAGTGGGCTTTGAAATGAGACGCAGCTCATGCTGATCACAACAGGATTTGAAGTTTCTAATCATGGAAATCACTTTGCCACAGGAAGAAGTGAAGTCAGACACTGGGAAGAACTTCCTGACTCCTGGGGTCAGAGAGAGTAGAGTGGGAGGAGCTAGGGATTGCCATGGTCTGAGCTAGAAAGGCTGTGGGCCCTTCCTATTTCATCCTGTTAATCTCAGAGGGCAGCTACACCTAGCTATCCAAGTAAAAGAGTTGAGGCTGGGTACAGTGGTTCACGCCTGTAGTCCCAGCAGTGGGAGGCCAAGGCTGGAAGATTACTTGAGCCCAGGAGTTTGAGACTAGCCTGGGCAAGATGGCAAAACCCTCTCTCTTTATTTAAAAATAAATAAACAAATAAAAAATTTAAAAATAAAAATAAAGTGGCTGGAAGCAATAGCTCATGCCTGTGATCCCAGCACTTTGAGAGGCCAAGGCGGGTAGATCACAAGATCAGGAGTTCAGGACCACCCTGACCAACAAGGTGAAACCCTGTCTCTACTAAAAATAGAAAAATTAGCCAGGCATGGTGGTGTGCGCCTGTAATTCCAGCTCCTCGGGAAGCTGAGGCAGAAGAATCGCTTGAACCTGGGAGGCAGAGGTTGCAGTGAGCCGAGATCACACCATTGCACTCCAGCCTGGGAGACACAGTGAGACTTTGTCTCAAAAATAAATTAAATAAATAAATAAAGTTAAAATAGTTCAGAGTGTGGGGTCACAAAGAGTCAGACTTCCCGGAATCAAATCCCAGCTCTCTCCCTTTCCAGCATCTGTGTCCTCATGTGCAAACAAAGATAAATGTCTGCCCCAAAAGCTGGTGGTGAGAATCAAATGAGATCTGACATGTGAAGTACTTGGCACACTACCCTGCATACCACAGGTGCATAAGAAATGTTGGCTACTCTTATTAGTACTGTATAAAGTCAGTACCGTCGGGAGACAAGGAAGCAGGAGGGACAGGCCCTGGCCTCAAGAGATCATTGCTTCTAACCTCCAAATACTCCTCTCAAGAGATTCGGCCACATTCTGTTGCTTCACTTGGCCTATAATCCTACTTCGGTTTGATAATATTCCTTAAATACTGGAGTTCGGCATCTCAACTGGACTGCACCCTCAAACATGTCCTGAAGACAGAAACCAAGGATGCCACTGGAGAGGCCACACCTCTTACCGCCCTCAGAGAAGCTCTCAGCTCCTTTCCTTGCAACTGCCACCCTCTTGCCTTTAAAGGGTCCAGCCCTCTGCCAGCTCCTCTCTCACCCTAAGCCCCAGGTTGGAGGCTTCAGACTAAATAAGGACCCTCCTGTCCTGCCCTGGAGATCTCCACCTCATTCCAGCACTCTGGGCCATCCAAATATGGAACTTCCCACCATTTCCCCTGGGGCCCGGAGAAGGAGGGAGAGGGAAGCACAGGCCGAGGGCTCCAACATTCCCTTCTAGGGTGGGAAGTCAGGAATTGGCCTAGAATTATTTGCCTGTAAGATCCAAACTGAACTGAAAATTCCAAGACCAGAGAGAAGGCTGAAAGCAGATAAGAGTGCCTGGGGGAACCGAAGTGTCTTTTGGCTGATCTCTCTAGCAGGAAACCCAGGAACTTGGCTCAGGGCAGACTTCAGGGCCTGCAAGCTGATACCTTTCAGATGGCTCCCTGCCGAAGACCTCCCTGCTCCTTTCTGCTCTGCCTTGGCCCTTCTGTTCTCCCCGAGGCCCAATCCTGCCTCACGGTGGGCCTTTGCCCCTCTACGTCCATCCAAGTGTTATAGTGAGAGACTCTGTAGCTCACTTGTAAGATCCACCAAAGACTCCATCAAGGGGAATTTTGAAGGCAGGTCTGAATAAATTTCTACCAAATCATGGTAAGCCAATAAAGGAAAAAAAAAAAGGACTGGATTTGTTGGAAACACACACTGCCAGATGCCACCTTGGTGGGCCCTTGTGATGCTGCTTGGAAATGCTGGGGAAAGGCAGCCCCAAGGGAGAGGTCAGAGCCCCCTTGCCACACTCAGAAATGGAGAATGATTCTCTGCTTCTAGAAGGAAAACTGAGGCCCACAAAACAGTTCCACATCACATGCTGGCCAGATGCAGGGCCAGGCCAGAACCCAGCCCCTGACCTCCAGACCTGGTTGTTTCCTGCGAGCCATGTCTCCCCTCCAGTGGGCCAAGCACTGGGGCTGGGAGGGTGAAAAGTGACAGAAGCCTCAGCCTGTGGGTGAGGAGGTGCTGGGGTCAGAGCATGGGCAAGGCTTCTTTCTGTGAGCTCCCCCATGCCCTTGGATTCTAGGGAACAGCCCAGGGCCAACCTGTGGGGTCCTGTTCCATCAGCCACCACCACAGAACTCTTTCCTCAGGGCTGCCCAGCTTGACCTTCCCCAGGAGGGAGCTGGGTACAGCTCAGAGATGGGCGCATAGCCTTGGGCAGGTTCCCAGCCATGGGGCTGAGCTTTCCCACCAGCCTCTGAACCACCGCCTGCTCATAGGATCTGGCAGCCCCTTTCCAGACCATGGGAGTGTACTGTAGACCCTCTCAGTCCCTGCTCCCAGGCCAAGCCCAGGGTGGAGGTGATTCTCCCCAACTTTGCCTATGACATCAACCTGTCTTCCTCCTGCCCATTCAGACCCTCAAGAAAGGGCACTGATCTGGTTTGGCTGCATTCCCCCCAAATCTCACCTTGAATGATAATCCCCACATGTCAAGTGGGGCCAGATGGAGATAATTGAATTATGGGGGGTGGTTGGTCCCCGGTACTGTTCTTGTGATGGTGAAAAAGTCTCTCAAAATGTGATGGTTATATATGGGAGTTCCCCTGAACAAGCTCTCTTGCCTGCCACCATGTAAAACACGGCTTTGCTTCTCCTTTGCCTTCTGCCATGATTGTGAGGTCTCACCAGCCATGTGGAACTGTGAGTCCATTAAACCTCTTTCCTTTATAAATTACCCAGTCTCAGCCAGGCGCGGTGGCTCACGCCTGTAATCCCAGCATTTTGGGAGGCCGAGGTGGGTCGATCACGAAGTCAGGAGTTCAAGACCAGTCTGGCCAAGATGGTGAAACCTCATCTCTACTAAAAATACAAATATTAGCTGGATGGAGTGGCTAATATTTGTAATCCCGTCTACTCAGGAGGCTGAGGCATGAGAGTTGCTTGAACCCAGGAGATGGAGGTTGCAGTGAGCCGAGATCACACCACTGCCCTCTAGCTTGGGTGACAGAGCAAGACTCTGTCTCAAAAATAAAAATAAAAATAAAGATAAATAAATAAATTACCCAGTTACAGGCATGTCTTTATTAGCAGACGGAGAATAGACTAATACAGGCATGTAGGTGGGCAAGCTGAGTAGAATCTGGAGCCAAGGACCCACCTGGTCACAACTGCTTCTGGGAACCTACCCCAGGCCTGACCAATGAGGGAGATAGCCTTTACTGCCTTTGGCCCAGACCCGGCTAGCCTCTCCCTTCCTCGGGAGGGAAAGTCCTTTGATTCAGTAGGCACCCTGAACAGGGTGGGCAGTTACCACCCACTTAAGTCCTTTGATTCAGTAGGCACCCTGAACGGGTGGACAGTTACCACCCACTTCACTGAGAAAGAGAAATGATCCTTCTTCCATTCATAAACAAATCTTTGTCAGGAACCACACTGTGTGCCAGGCGCTGTGCTGGGCATGAGGAATGAGCAAGTTGTGGAGATGGCTCAGCCTGCTGGGACTCATGCAGTGCTCAGGGGTCCACTTGGTGCTCTGATACCCAAGAGCTGCACGGCACCTGAGACCCTAGCGTGACCTGAGACTGCTTCCTATGGCTGCTCATTGCATAACACAGAGCCCTGCTCTCCAGCCTGATTTTCTACAACTGTTTCTCATCCGCGGCGCCCCTTACACACTGCCCCAGGTCCTGCTCCTTCTTTCCTATGCCACCCCCTGAATTCCTGACTTCCCTCAACCCTCTGACCGACTACTCCTCCATAAACAGATCTGCAGGCGGGCAGTGTCGCCCACAGCTGACTCCTTATAGTCAGTGGTTAAGCAACATCCGAGAGCAAAGAGAGGGGCCCTTAGGACCCCCTTCCCAGCCTGGACTCCCTTCCCAGCCAGGGCCAAGCTCTCTCTTATTCCCTCTGGAAAAATAAACAGCTTGGAAATTCCTAAGTGTAGTGAACTGCTGATAACAAGACGCTGCTGTTTCTGGCTTCCTTTGCAGGCTGGAAGCCAACAAAGCTCCACTGAACCTTGTTTACTCCCCATTCATCAGACGCAGCCCTGGAGCTGTCACTCCAGGCCAGCCGAGCAGGGTGTGGGGCCCCTGCTGCCCTGTGTGAGGTGGCCTCAGGTTGGTCTACCCAGTGACAGGCACAGGTGCAAACGTCTGTTGAACAGGTGGCTCTTGGCCCACCTGGATCCTGCTCTGGAGCACAAATCATGAAACTTTGCTTCATGTAATGCAGGACAGACAGGACCCCATTCTTGGATCTCCCCAGATGGGCTGGGGCCTCAGCCCCCCTGAGGTCTTTTTTGCATCACACTCTCTTGCTATAGATCCCTCAGCAGTGTGTGTGAGTGTGTGTGTGCGCGCATGCGCGCGCACGCCTGTATCATTTCTTCAATATTCATAATTGTTTTAAGTGCTTTGTTTTACAAGTTTCTTTCATTTTAATTCTCACAACAATCCCATGAGGTAGCTATTATTAACTCCACTGTAATAATGAGAGAACTCAACCAGAGAGAAACTGAGTAACTTGTCCATCATCACACAGATAATAAACACTGAATCTTTTTTAACTAAGACATTCTCCTACCGTCCATTCTGTCTGCTCTCATGAAGAATGTACCTTGGCCAGGCACAGTGGCTCGTGTCTGTAATCCCAACACTTTGGGAGGCTGAGGTGGGCAGATTATTTGAACCCAGGAGCTCAAGACCAGCCTGGGTAATATAGGGAGACCCTGTCTCTCCAAAAGTTTTTTTTTAAAATTGGCCGAGCATGGTGGCATGCATGTGTAGTCCTAGCTACTCAGGAGGCTGAGGTGGGAGGATCTTTTGAGGTGGAGGCTGCAGTAATACACTGCACTCCAGCCTGGTGACTGAGTGACACTCTGTCTTAGGAAATAAAATGCATCTTGCTGAAGCTGACTCTTCTTCTAATCTAGACCTTCTGCTCTGATCACAATGAACCAAATCATTTAGGAACCTGAGGAGAGACTTTTTCAAGTTGCCACATCCTGGAAACGTCACCTGGCCCAGGTACCGGCTGGTGCAGCATCACGGTGTCAGGATCCCTGGGTCGACCCGACCTCTGTCAGTTGCTTCTTACCTTTCATCTGACTTCCTACTCATCTAGGCTTGTGACTGGAGCAAGCCTTGCTCTGCCTTATTAGGAGTAGATATCAGGGAACTCCTGACTCCCTCTTCCTCTCGTCCCAGGCTGTTTGGGTGGGAATGGGAAGTGAAGAAGTGAACGGGCTGGCCTCCAAGGGGCTGAGGAAGGAGGAGCCCCCCTCTTCCTCCAGACTCAGCTACACCATGAAGTGTGGCCTCTGTTGCCTTTGAACAAGAGATAATTAGGGTCCAAAGGGCTGGAAGTGTTTTCCTCTGAAATGGTGGGATCATGGCAGGGAGAGAGAGAAGAGAGAGCTGAGTGGAAAGTTTTCTTAACCAAGTCTTTACGGCTTGGCTTTCAGCCCCTGAACGCTCGCCACCCCGACCCGCTCTGGCCAGTTCATCCCTGAGAAAGAAGCTTCTGAACGGAACAAAGAGGCCCTTAAGTGTTTCCCTGCCCAGCTGCGCTTCAGCCAAATGTCAAGCTGTTTACATCCCATGGGCCCAGTTCCCCTGGGTGTTGACAGCCCCAGCCTGTGGGGGCAGGCCCGACCCGGGTGTCCAAGGCAACAGCAGCAGGGCTTGGGGTGTACTCACTGCACAGGAAGCAGGATTTATGGAAGCTGTTGCCTTCGCACTGAACCTCTTCGGCAAAGTAAACTGTCTTCTGACACACCCCACATTTCTTGCCTCCTCCCCAGTTCGGCATTCTGAAAAGGGACACAGAAATGGGAATTAATTTTAGAGGGAGATGGAAACATCTCAGATTGTCCACGACAGAAATGTAACAGCCAGTGCCTGAGGAGAGAAAGATGAAGGCAGAATGCTTAGGGGGCCACCAGGCCTGGCAGAGCACTTTCTGCTAGCTCTCCACGGCATCCTCACACGTCACTTAGGGATTTCCTCCCCTAGTCTAATCAACAGGTCTTTACGGAGCAGCTGCTGCATTTTCAGCCCTGTGCTAGGCACTCCAAAGGATGTGGATCAGCAGAAGATACAGGGCTGCAGTGGCAATAGAAATGGACTGCCAAGCCCTACATGCATCAACATGATGGATCTCAAGGAGAATGCAGACAGGAAGAGGCAGACAGACCAGAGCTGGGAAAACACAAGCCTGTTTGTATGAAATTCACAAATGGGCTAAACCCATATTGTTAAGATATGGACATATGGGTGGAAAAGTTACTACAGAAAAGCAAAGGAATGACGACAAGCTCTTATCTTAGAAGAGTTCCTTCTAAGGGAGGGAAGGGACCACGACTGAGTGGCAGGCCAGGGAGGCTGGCAAGACGCTGCCTGACAATATTCTCCTTCTTCACTTGGGTGGCTGTCATATGGGGACTCCTTTTATAATTATTCTTTGAACTGTACACGTAGGTTTTGTGTGCACTTTTGTATAGAAGCTATAGTTCACCACAAGAAAAAAGGTTTAAAAAAAAAAAGCAGGGCTGGGTGCGGAGGCTCACACCTGTTCTCCTTCTTAACTTGGGTGGCTGAGGAGGGTGGATCACCTGAGGGCAGGAGGTCCAGATCAGCCTGACCAACATGGCAAAACCCCATCTCTACTAAAAATACAAAAATTAGCTGGGTCTGGTGGTGGGCCCAGTAATCTCGGCTACTCAGGAGGCTGAGGCAGGAGAATCGCTTGAACCTGGGAGGTTGAGGTTGCAGTGAACCAAGAGAGCACCACTGCGCTCTAGCTTGGGCAACAGAGCAACACTGTGTCTCAAAAAAAAAAAAAAAAGAAAGAAAGAAAAAAAAAGAAAAGAAAAAAAGCAGGAAGTAGGCACACAGGGCAGAGTTCTCAGCCTTCAGAGTGAGGGGCTTCTGCAAAATCAGATCTAGTAGCATCACCCCACATCTAATGAATTATAACCTCTGAGAATGAGGTGCATGAATCTCAATTTTTAACAAGCACCCCAGGCAAACAAAGCAGGTGGCTGGATGAACTTTGAGATGCTCTATGTGTTGGTTCAGAGCTGGGTCCTGATGCCAGGCAGGCATCTCAGTCTTGATCCTGCCACTCACTGGCTGTGTGACCTTGGGCCAGATAGTTGGTCTTTCCAAACTTTTGATTTCTGTATCTATTAGATAAGGATAAGAATAGCAGCTTCACCAAGCATGCCTGGCAATTAAATAAGACATGATACATCAAAGGCAAGGCACAGAGCCTGGCACATACATGGCACACAGAAGTCCAGGCTGTGCCTCAGGTCAGTACCCCCGTGGCCACAGAGCAGCACAGAAGGTCATGGAGAACAGATGGGGGCTGCTTCTCTCCTTCCATTTCACTCACTCACTCAATAGAAGGAGTGGCTGGAGGAGGAAGATGGCCCTTCCAGCTCTTTCAACAGAGTTCATGGGGGAAGGCTATACAAAGCACCACCTACAGTGGGTACAGGCTGGGTGCCTGCGGTTGCCCAGGACATGGTGAGGAAAGGACACAGGGAGGTGCTGGGAAGTAAAGGGGCTGGGAGTCAGAGGGGTCTGTGCCTCTGGAGGCAGGCAAAGGAGCCTAAGGAGAGAGCTCAAGGAGCCTGTGGCATGGAAATGTTGAAAATAGGGATGGGGCCACCAGAGCCCAACCCCCCGGTAACAGCTGGAGAGTTGTCAACGTCAAGGGCAGAGGGAGACACAGTCTCCACTGCTGGGACACGGGCCTCCACTCAAGAAGAGGGTCCAGGTCACATTCACCACTCTGTCCCCATGCCCTGCACAGCTCTTGGCATGTAGCTGTTCAGATAGGTGGCCGTGAATAGTTGAGGAATGAATGAAGGATGTACTGATATTGAAAGCCACGGCTTCTGGGGCCATTTTCTCTGCATGGTGAATCTCTGCAGATCCTGGCTGCTAGTGGAGGTGCTTAGTAAGCATGTGCAGGCTGAGAGCAGGGCTTCCCGTGGGGAGGCGGTGTTGGTGATGCTGGGGGTCCAGGTAGACTGTGCCTGCTGCATCAGCCCAGTTCTCCCTTTCTGGGGCTCTGGACTGGCCGCCCCTCCTCAGGCTCCCAAGCGTTGCTGACAAGCCTGGCAGGAATTTCTCCACTGCTCACATCCCCATCTCCATCTTCCTCAGATAATCCATGGCGCTTGAGCTCCCAAACCCAGGGACAGTCCCCACCCCCAGCCTCTGATGTCGCACTGTTCCTTCAGCCTTTTTCTGTTCTGAGAACTGCTAGCTGCCCTTGTTGAGCAAAGATTTGGGGCTGAAAACCTCAATACAATGTGAAGGACAATCCAACAGGAACAGCAATCAGCAATGTGTGTTATGGTCGGACTAACCATCAACCATTTCTGCCTTCTTCCTTGCTACAGAGCCCTGATTTTATTCAGGCCATGGAGTGACTGGGGAGATGCCCCTTCCCCAGATGGAAGAACAGAGCCTGAGTCTAAGCCAACCGTGGGGATTCCGTTCTCCTGCCAGTGGCTGGATCAGGAACAGGCTGAGACCATTTCTGGCCAGTGAGATGTGAGGGAGGTCTGCTGGGAAGCTTCTGTGAATAATGTGTCCAGTTGTACGGAGACACACAGGCTCTCTTCTCCCTCCGATAAGGTGACTCAATGTGACCCTTGGAATTCAGCCACAACACCCACACTGCTATGGGCTGAATGCCTACTATGTATTGGATGGCTCATCTGCATCATCTCATTTCTTGTCTTTTGGAGATGGAGTCTCACTCTATGGCCCAGACTGGAGTGCAGCGGCACAATCTATGCTCACTGCAACCTCCATCTCCTGCGTTCAAGGAATTCTCAAGCCTCAGACTCCTGAGTAGCCAGGATTATAGGCACCCACCACCATACCCGACTAATTTTTGTATTTTTATTAGAGATAGGGTTTTACCATGTTGGCCAGGCTGGTCTCGAACTCCTGACCTCAGGTGACCTGCCTTGGCCTCCCAAAGTTCTGGGATTAAGGCATGAGCCACCGCGCCCAGCCTCGTCATCTCATTTCATCCTCATCATCCAAAGATAAAGAATGTATGCCCACCTTACAGATAAGAAAAGCAAGGCTCAGGGAGGTTAGGCAACTTGCTTATAGTCACACAGCTAGAAGAGGTGGACCTGGGATTCTAATGCAAGATCATCTACTTCTGAGTCCTCTGTGCCCCAGTCACCATGCTGTGGCCCTTGCGTATTTAAAAGGGGCTGCTTGCAGTGGGCATACAGTACATCAGTGCGGATCCTCTCCTTTTCCAATCCCCTGAACCAGGAGGGACACACTCAGGACCCTAGGAACACCCCTACGGGAGGAAAATTCCTCCAATCACATGGTTAGGAGCCAGTTCCAAGCACTGTTTTGTTCCCAGACACAAAAGCCCTTCTCCCTCTGGGGAGACCCACAGCTCCATACAGGCCTCCCCTTGTTTTCCCTGGCTCCATGTCAGGGGCTCACATCCAGCAAGGCCCCAGGGAATCAAGAACATGGGCGGAGAAATGGGTGAAACCCAAGGACCTGCCAGTAAGGAAAATCATCTCTTAGCGAGGCTGCTCTTCGAACCTGGTCATTTAGTTGGGGCAGGGTGGGGGTCTCCCCACAAGAGCCCAGTGAAGGGACAGGGCTCTATTGCCTTGAGATGAAAAGTGATGACTGCATCCCTAGCCAGGAAGGGTTTCAGGCAGTCCCTGTGGATGGGCTCCTGTCCCTCTCTGCCCACAAGAGGACCCCTCCAGGTGACCCTGCTTGTGAGGAAGAGGCTCGGCTGGAGGGAACCCTGGCAGCAGGCGGGGCTCAGTCTCCACTCCACCCCCTACCCTTTCTGCCCAGCCCCTTCTCTCCAAAAGCCAAATTCTGCCTGTAGGGAGACCGAATTGCCTTAAAAGGAAACCTGTTTCTCTGAATTTATGGAGTGCCTTAGAGGGACATTTGGCTCCTTCTCAATTGCCTTCCCAGCTCTGGGGGACAGAGGCCCTGCAGGAGGCTGGGACGAGAGAAGTTCCCCAGGTCAGAGTTTAGGCTGTAAAGGTCAATGGTTAGGAAAATGGCAGCTGGGCTTGATGGACCCGGATTCACCCCTTCTTAGCTGAATGATCTTGAGCAAGTTACTTTCCTCTCTCAGCGTCAATTTGCCTGTCTCTAAAATGGACCGTACGTGAACTCCCTAAAATTGAGCTGTAAGGATTAAACGAGGATATATGGAAGTGGTGGCCAGCACACTGTAAGTGCTCACCCCTCTGACTACCTCTCACAAGACTAGCCCAGTCATACCTTGACACCACACTGCTAGATGTGGGCCAGCTGTCTGCGTGTAGCTAGTCCACATATGGAAGGAGTGAGGTTTAAGAAGTAACAGGCCAAACAGGGCCAGGAACTCCTGATTCATCTGCCAGCCCAGCAAATGAGTCTGGGACAAGTTACTTGCCCTTCTTTGGGGTTTAGCTCCCCCCAGCTGTGTGAGATGTCCTATTTCACTGTGTTGAGCATCTCAACAGAGAACAGAGCTTGAATTTTCTGCTGAATGGCTGGAAACACCTGGTCAACTGTTTTCCCAAAATGGCAGGAGGCTGGAAGACTGCTGTGTCTGCTGCCATATCTTCCTAGCCTGGCTGTCCCATTAGAACTGTGCCCAGATCCTCAATCTTGAGAGGAGAAAGCCAAGGTGGCAGCTCTTACAGCAGCAGAGGAGGGAGAAGAAAAAGGGCACAGACTCTCACGGTCACCCCAAATCTCATGAAAGTCAGGCTCAGCTGGATGCGGTGGCTCACACCTG